TCTGCCCCTTCTTACTAATAAATCTAAGGGCCAACATAAACCAGGTTCGAATGGTCTAAAAGGAGGGCTCTGAAAGAGGCTTTGCATGGAGGATTACAGAGGCCCTATCCCTCTAAAGGTTGTAAAAAAAGTGTCTGAGAGGGAATGTCTCTCCAGACTCAAGTACCACAGGCGTCCCCATAGTGCGGGAATCAATGGACTGTGCAGTTTTTTGAGGGAGCGGAAATGGGTAAATGCAAGGCTGCTACTGCACAACCGCTATGCAACAGGGCATATAATCTAGGCTCTCGGGATTTTGGGGTACCATGGTCCCCAGCCTGTGTAGTCCCAGTTGCACTCTAATCATGCCTTGAGTGAGCCTTTTTCCCACACACAGGTGTAGCCTCCCCCGAGTGAAGGGGTCTGTGTGGGGCATCTCTCATCAGGGGAAATTTCAACCCTGGAGTCCTGCATATCAAAGCAGTGGTAATGAACCTGGATCTGCCTGGCTGGCAGGTCTGTTATTTGGCTTTGGATGAATCGAGTGAGGCAGGAAAGTGCCCATGGCCTAAAGGCAAGGACCAGGAGCAGGCCTACAACAGGTCCTAGGAGGGAGGGAAGAAGGGTTGTTAGCTAAGGGAAGTTGGAAAACCAATTTTGGAACCATCCAAGCTCTTGGTTTTTTTTTTAGTCCTTTTTTAACCTACCATACTGACTACCCCGGTGTGGTCTGTAAAGAAGCAACATTCCTCTTTGAGCCCAGTACAAAGGCCACCCTGTTGTAGAAAGAGGAGATCCAGGCCTCTCCTGTTCTGTAAAACTACCTCAGCTAAGGAGGAAAGGGATGACTTGAGGGCAGAAATTCCCTGTTCAATTTGAGCAATATCCTTGTCTATGGACAGTCAAAGCTCAGAGTAATGTTGGTTGGACAGGACCAGAGAGGGAATTCCTGTGCCTATTCCCGTTGCTCCAACCCCGAGAAGGACTGCTAAGGTGATGGCAGTAACAGGCTCCTGTCAAGGCAGTCATCTCAGCGTGGCTTCTCTTCCTAGAGATCTAGGAATTGATCTGAGGAATAATAGGTTAGTCTAGGTGGAAGGGACCTAAGTGCCCTGAGTGGCATCTCTGGTGCTACCCTGTTTGCTGTGTTACTTGCCAGCCACAGGCTGCGTCAAGCTGACCCAACATGGCTATGACCACCTGTTCAGGGTAGACGGAAATGAATCTCGAAAGAGCAGCGGGCATGTGGACCCAGAGGAGTATCTTGTCTTTAAGATTTGGTTCTTGAGCATGTTGCCAAAAGACTCCTGTGGGTGTGTGTGGTGTGGGCAGAACTATAAAATATAGAGGTATGGTATAGGAAATCTGAAAGCAAGACTGTTGGTTAATTTCAATGGCTATCTGAATCAAAGCCTCGTTGGCTGCAGGGGAAAGCACACTAGGTGATGTGGGGTCAGGGTCGCCCCGGAGGATCTCGTAGAGGAGAAGGAGAGAATCTGTAGGAAGTTTAAGATAAGGCCTAAGCCATTGGATATGGCTGAGCAATTGTTGGAAATCATTTAGGGTATGGAGATGGTCAGTGCGTAACTGGACGCAAGGAATGAGGACCCGGTTTGAATGGAGTTCCAACCCCAGGTAATTGAAAGGGTCCTGGGTTTGGACCTTATCTGGAGCAATCTGTAGTCCCTATCCATTAAGGGCTCTACTGAGTTCTGAAAAACATTGCTCAAGGGAGATGGGGTCAGGTGCAGCGAGGAGAAGGTCATCCATGTAATGTAAGATATATATCTGGGGCCAATTAAGTCTGACAGGGTCCACAGCCTGAGCCACGAATTTCTGGCAGAGAGTAGGACTGTTGGCCATGGCCTGGGGTAATACCTTCCATTGGTAGCAAAGCATCGGCCCCTGAAAATTGGGGAGGGGAAGGCTGAATGCAAAATAGGCTCTGTCCTCAGGGTGCAAGGGAATAGTAAAGAAACAATCTTTAAGGTCAATGACCATCTTGTAAAATTTAGCAGGAATAGCCACAGGCCAAGGCAATCCAGGATGAAGTGCCCCCATAGGCCTCATTACCTTATTTACTGCCCTTAAGTCTTGAAGGAGCCTCCATTTTTCTGACTTCTTTTTGATAACAAATATAGGAGTATTCCAAGGGGAGTTTGAAGGCTCAATGTGGCCAGCCATAAGCTGCTCCTATATAAGCATAGTGGTGGCCTGTAGCTTTTCTTGAGTAAGGGGCCATGATCCACCCAGACAGGGGTCTGGGTCATCCAGGTAATTTTGTCTGCATGGGGTACAGGAGGGTCAGTGGCCGCTACTAAAAACCCGAATATCCCAGGCCATGTCTATCCTCCTTGGGAACGGGCTGAATTGGTTGAACTCTCCCCTGAGCTGCCTTGCCCAAGCCTGTGCCAGGGATATAATTCATCCGTAGCATTTGTTGTGTGACTGTAGAGTTTGGGCTATATAAGATTACTTGCATTTGTGAAAGTATGTCCCTTCCCCAAAGATTAACAGGCAGGCCCAGAACCACAAAAGGAGTGACAGTCCCCTGGTTTCCTTCCTCGTCCTTCCAGGAAAGTGTCCTTGAACTAATTAAAGGATTATTAGACTGACCGATTCCTTTTAAATCAGTGAGGGATGGAACCAGTGGCCAAGCAGACGGCCAGTGAGACTGAAATGACTGTGGTGTCTGTCCCGGTATCCAAGATACCCTGAAACTTCTTTCCCTCTATAGTAAGGGTGAGAGTAGGGCGATCCTGAGTAACAGGCTGGACCCAGCAGGCGTCCGAGGAGCCCAATCCAGCTGACTCCCGAGGGGTGTTTGTAATTGAGGGATTATCACAGACAGAGGAGGGTAGAGGAACTAGCTGTGCCAGGCGCATACCTTGAGAAGTCCTGACCATGCCATTTACAGCAGTGGCCAGAACCTTAATTTCACCTGTGAAATCATTATCTATTATGCCAGGGTAGACCTGGACCCCTCGGAGGGCCACAGAAGCATGGCCAAGGACAAGTGCGCAAACATTAGGAGGTAAGGGCCCTGTCACCCCTGTAGGGATGACCTGAGTCCCTTTAAGGGAGTTTAATACTATTTCGGCGGCGGCACACAAGTCCAATCCGGCACTGCCTGGAGTTGCTCTCCGGAGGGAGGAGAATGGAACTGGGGCGGGAGAATTTGTTGAGGCTGGGGAGGCAGGAGGTGAGTGGACCTCAAGGCCCCAGGGTGCAGTCTTAGAGGCATTGGGGCCAGGGGCTGGCCCCTTTGGAAGTTTTTAATTGACTTTTGACCTGCATTTTGTAGCCCAATGATGGCCCTTGTTGCAGTGGGGGTGGGGGTGGGGGTCAGAGGGTGCAGAGAGTGGAAGGCAGGGGCCTCATAGAGGCGGCCTCCTGAGCCGGCTGGGCTAAGGGCGCGAGGCTGTGACCTTTCTGGGGACATTCCCTAGCGAAATGTCCAAGTTGTTTACAGAAATAACAGGTGCGGTCTCCAGGCTGTTGTGAAGCCCTGAGGGCAGTACCTATAGCTGATCCCATGGCATGGGTGGCACCAACACCTGAACAGAGTCTCACATATTCAGACAGGTCCGCTCTGTTTTTATGAGGGCGGAGGACTTCCTGGCAGGCAGGGCTTGCATTTTCAAAGGCCAAGTGTTTAACAAAGGTGCTTTCGTGTTCGTTCGGCCCAAAAAATCTCTCAGCTGCATCATTTAAGGGAGAGACAAATTCACTAAAAGGTTCATCAGGGCTCTGACAAATCTTTGTCAATGAGGTGGTAGCCGAACCCTTTAGGGGCAGGCGTTTCCAGGCCCGGACCCCCGCGTTTTGAATCTGGGCCAGGAGGCCAGGAGAGAATTTTGTCTGTGTTGCATTTGTATCGTAAGGGGGGTTGCCAAGGAGTTTCTTTAGTGTGCAAGTTTTTGAGGACGGCTGTTTAATATTTTTTTGAGCAACTTCTAGGCAATTTTTTGTAAATTCTGTTTTCCAGAGGACAAAGTCACCCCCAGAAAGATCCGCATGGGCAAGAAAATACCAGCCATTAGGGGTCAACCAATGTTCGCTCTGGTTTTCCACCAAGGCTAACGTGAAAGGAGCCGTAGGACCATACTGAGCACAGGTGGATTTCAGCTTTTCAACTAGGTGGAAATTTAATTTGTGATAAATCTGTCCTGGCGGGGGGTCCTCTGGTGACGGCTCCTCCTCCTCCTCCTCCTCCCCCTCTTCCCCCTCCTCATTTTGATCTTCCAAACCCCTTGAGGGGCCGCTCTGGGCAGCCGCCTCGGATGAGTCCCCAGAGGTCTGGCTCCTGGTAACAGGAAATGCCAGGACAGGCTGAGGCTTACTCTTCGATTTACTAGATTTTTGAGATGGTTTTAGCGGACCGGGAGCCACCACTTCAAGGGCAAGATCTTTAAGTTCTTTGTCAAGAGTTTTCAATTTCCTTAAAAGCTCAACATGTTCCCTGTGAGCCTGTAGGGCCCGTCAAAGTGAACCAAGATCTGGGACACGGGGAGCCAACTCATTAAGAATAGGCCCGCAAAAATGGGAAGACGGAGAAACATAGGGAGGGGACATTGCGGAAGGGGGAACTGCCGGAGATTTTTGAGGTGGTATAAAAGGGCCCAAGGACTCCTGTGTTAAGGGGAGATTTTTGCAGGGGGCCAGTCTGGATTATGGTAACGGGCCGCCCCTTTCTCTAGGGAAGCCTCCTCGGTGGGGTCTAGAGGGGAGTTAGAGGTCAAATTATTAACAGAGGGATGAGGATGGGGAGGAGCGGACTCCTGGGGATTGTTAGGTTAAAAGTCATGAGCATCCCCTCTTCCATAGAGCGCAGGTTGTGAACCGAGGGACAGACTGAAGGCGGACCAGAAAGTGCTTGGGGAGTCTTAGGGCAGGTAGAGGGGGAGTGAAAGGCTTCTTTGAACATTTTTTTCTCCTATATATTAATAATAACCTTTTGTATGTCAGGGGAATATTTATAGATCCTAAAAATATCAATAATCAACAAAGGCTTTAAGGTCTTTTTTTTTTACCCTAGTTTCTTGTATCTTGAGGGGCTCATTTAGGCCAGAAATAAATAAATCTCGTGATGAAGTTGCCTGTCTCATGGCTTGTCACTTTCTTACCTGCGTCGTCTCCGCCCTCCTCCGGGATCGCGTCCTGAACCGGGCGATTTCAGGGGGATCCAACAACTTCACCAAGGCCTTGGTCTTCCTCCGGGAGACGACGTTCCAAATCCTCAAGAAGTGGTTTCATCCACGTTGGGCGCCAGTTTGCCCCGCCTGCAGGGCTTTAATGGGTTCTCGACCACCCTAAGCACGGAATGATAGGGACAGGAGATACAAGGAAATACACCAAGTCTAGATTCTGATCAAGGTGCAACTTTATTTTTCTCCAAGAGGGTTTATATAGTTCCTGCAGGGTGGGGGGAGCAAGAAGCTGTCATCTGCATAAGGTGGGGCAAGCAAACAGGATGTTTGTATAGGATGTTTACAGGGTGAAAGGGTCAAGGGCTCTGCCTCAATGTCCTGTTGCTAGGCAACCTGACTGTAAGATGATCTAGTTCCCTGTCTTATCGGGGGTCTGTATTTTTCCACTAACTAGAGATTCTATCCTTGTCCCTGACAATACACTTTACACCTCTTTTATGAGTGTCTTTTCTGAATTTGTTCAAAACGAAAACTATAACCATCTAGTCTTTAACTCCACCAGAGAACTTAGAAGGATATAATATTACCAGAGTAAACAGGAAATTAAAAACAAACAACTTGCAAGATTAAGAAATCACAGAGATCAACACATGCTTAAAGTATACAGGCTGATTTAATTTAGTAGGATTTTCTATTGCCGTATGTCTCTCTGCAGCTGTAATTCCTCATTAGCATTTGGAAAACAAAGTTATTAAGCTTTACGCAATCTATCTCTGGGGTCTTTATTACCCCTTCCTGTTTATTAAGCATATCTTTTAGAGTGTGATTACATCTTTGTTTACCTGTATAGGATTGTGTGGCATACCTGTAATATATTCTATGTTGTAATATGCATAAAATTGTTCATTTTACTAGACACATATTCTGGAGCATTGTCAGTCTTAATTTGTACAGTTATCCCCATGATGGCAGAACTTCTAACAAATGTGTGATTACAGAATCAGCCTCTTCAGAACTCATAGCCATTTCCAATTGAAATCCTGAATATGTATCTATACTGTGGTAGACATTTTACTTTTCCAAACTTTGCAAAATGAAACACGTCCATTTTCCAAATTTCATTTCTTTGAGTACCCTTTGGGCTCCTCCCTGCAGATAGTGGAATTTGGTTACAAAAGGAACAAGTAGAACATTTTCTTATATTTTCTATGACTTTCTATCAAGTGGTGAGAAAACCCTTTTACAACCTTTGCCATTGACATAGTGTTTTAAATGAACTTCTGAGGCTTCTAGTACATTTCCTACCAATAGTTGATCAGTTTCATAAAAAACTTGTGCTAGAGAGCCTGATAGAACCATATGGGATCTAACATGTGTTATACATAAGGGATGATTTCAACTTATTGTTATTTCTTGTAACTGAATAAATAACAAAATCAACTCTGTATCATCTGAAGTAAGTACAGTTTCAATATGTAAAACACCTCTTTATGCATAGTGAGAGTCAGTAACTATATAAAGAGAAATCTAATAATATTGTGAGAATAGCATATAATTCTGACTTTTGAACAGGATCATAAGGGCTTTGAGTCACTTTAAAAAAAAATTCCTGATATGTTTGCATCAGTATAGAAATTAGGGGCTCCAGAAATTGTTGTTCCCATTTAATGTGAGGAAGGATCCAGTTACTTCTCTTTATAATTTAATTCTCTTGCTTTTGGGATATTTGTTGTTAATCTCTACAAAAAATTACCCTGTAATCCATTGCTGAGGTTCATTTTCTGCCGATAAAGAGGAAATTTCAGCATTAGTAAAAGGTAGTATGATTTCTGCTGGGTTTATTCCTGTTAACTGGAAAGTCTCAGCTTTCATTTTAGAATCCACTCAGAAATTTTCTACATAGGTCATTAATTTCTTATTCTGTTTATATGGTAAAAATATCCATTCTAAGATATTATTATCTCTGCATTAAAATTTCTACAGGGAAATACATAGAAGGTAAAATAACCAGAATACAAACAAGTTAGAGATCTACATGATCCACATGTGCATCCTATAATTTTTTTTCTATCAGAGCCATTTCTTTCTCAGCTTAAGCTGATAATCTCTTCAACTATTTAAGTCCTTGTCACCTTGTAAGGTTTGAAATAAATTTCTCAGTTCTTGAGTTGTTCATCCAATTGTGGGTCATAGCCTATTTCCTGACATCAAGATGAAATATAAAGATTTTTAAATATCTATAGGCTGAGAGACATGGCCAAGTAGTTATGAGAAGTTCATTCCCAGGAAAAAGGTCAGGGTTTTAACAACTTTCTGTAATTCCAGCTAAAAGGAGAGCCAAGGGTATACACTTTTGGGGAATCACCATGCACACAGTAAAGACACACTGAGATCACACAATTAAAACAAATTTTTAACAGTGAGATTTTCACTCAAGAATGTTTTTCTCTCTTAAGGATTTATTCCTGTAACCCAGGTGTTGAAGTATCAAAAGGCTTACTTACAGAGCTTTCTTCATCATGAACTGATTTATGTAACAGAAAGCAAGCAGAGCAAGCATGTAGGCTTGCAGTCAGAGAAATCATTTTTGCTCAGTTGGTGGTATCATTTGGAAAGATTTGGGTAATTCATGCCCTGCTGAAAGAATTAAGTCCCTGGGGGTGAGCATGAGAATTCACATCCACACACCATTTCCAGTTTTAGTTTCACCTTCATGTTGTAGGTAAAAGATGACAGTTCTTACCATTCTGCTGCAGCTGCCGTGTTTGAAACTTGTTGCCATGCCACTTCCATTGTGATTCTGTACCCTTCTGGACCCAAGGGACAACTCTTTCATGAGTCGACTTAGATATTATGTTTTGTCACAGCAATAGACAAGGAAATACTACTACACATCCAGTAAGTGTTAAACCTGGATGCCTTATTGCATGTAATTGAAGAGAACTGTGGAATAGAAAATGGAAACCTCATCATTTAAATTTACAGGTCTTTTGTTCAAATGAAAGATTTTACCAAATCCTTTATGGCCTTTCCTTCAGTATTAATTTTGTCAGGCCCTCAAAGACTACTGTAAAATGCAAAGATTTTAAGAGACCAATTATACACTACAAGTCTTACTCTTGTATAAAGACTACCATGAAGTGCAAAACTTTACCACACTCACTACATTTATAGGGTTTCTCTACAGTATTTTCTCATTATTTCAGACTGCTGATTCATGCAAAGGCTTTACCACATTGATGACATTCATAGGGTTTCTCTCCAGTATGTGTTCTTCTATGTGTTCAGAGATGTTTTGTGTCTTATAAGAACTTTACCACAATAATTACATTCACAGGGATTCTATTTAAAATGTGTTCCTTTATGTATTCGGAGACTACTGGCACAGGCAAAGGCTTTCCCACATTGATTACATTCATAGGGTTTCTCTCCTGTATGAGTTCTTTCATGCCTTTGGAGATGACTGTGTAGTAAAAAGACTTTATCACATAGATTACAGTTGTAGAGTTTCTCTCCAGTATGTGTTCTTTCATGTATTCGCAGCCTACTGGAACATGAAAAGGCTTTACCACATTGATTAAATTCATAGGGTTTCTCTCCAGTATGTGTTCTTTCATGAATTTTGAGATGACTGTGTCGTGAAAAGTCTTTATTACATTGATTACATTTGTAGGGTTTCTCTCCATTATGTGTTCTTTCATGTACATGGAGATTACTGTGTTGTGAAAAGACTTTATCACATTGATTACACTTGTAGGGTTTCTCTCCAGTATGTGTTCTTTCATGTATTTGGAGATGACCTTTTTGTGAAAAGTCCTTACCACATTGATTACATTTGTAGGGTTTCTCTCCATTATGTGTTCTTTCATGTACATGGAGATTACTGTGTTGTGAAAAGACTTTGTCACATTGATTACATTTGTAGGATTTCTCTCCAGAATGTGTTCTTTTATGTACTTGGAGAAAACTTTGTCTGGAAAAGACTTTATCACATTGATTGCATTTGTAGGGTTTCTCTCCATTATGTGTTCTTTCATGTTCTTGGAGATTAGTGGATCCTGAGAAGACTTTATTACATTGAGTACATTTGTAGAGTTTCTCTCCATTATGTACTCTTCCATGCCTTTGGAGATGTCTGTATAGTGAAAAGGCTTTATCACATTGATGACATTTGTAGGGTTTCTCTCCATTATGTATTCTTTCATGCCTTTGGAGATGTCTGTATAGTGAAAAGGCTTTATCACATTGATTACATTTGTAGGGTTTTTCCACAGAATGTGTTCTTTTATGTACTTGGAGATTAAAGTTTTGTGAAAAGACTTTACCACATTGATTACATTTGTAGGGTTTCTCTACAGTATGTGTTTTTTTATGTCTTTGGAGATGACTGACTTGTGAAAACACTTTATCATATTGATTACATTTGTAGGGTTCCTCCCCAGCATGTATTCTTTTATTTATTTGAAGTGTAATCTGTCTTGAAAAGCCTTCATCACATTCAACACACTTGTAGGGTTTCTCTCTGTTATGTGTTCTCTCTTGTACTTGCAGATTACTGACATATTCAAAGTCTTTACCATATCTATTACATTCATAGTGTTTCTCTCCATTATGTGTTCCTTTATATGTTCAAAGACTACTGACACATGTACTCACTTCACCACATTGATTACATTCATATGGTTTCTCTCCAGTATGTGTTCTTTTATGTATTCCAAGATGACCATGACTATTGAAAGCATTACTGCACTGAATACTTTCATTGGTTTTCTTTGCAATACATTTTCCTTTATGTATTCTGAGACTAGTGTTGTGTGCAAAGCTTTCACCATATTGAATACAAACATAGAATTTCTCTCCATTATGAATACTTTCATTCTTCTGAAGATGACTGTGATATGAAGATGGTTTTGCACAATGAGTATATTTGGAGGCTTTTTCTCTTCTATGACATTTTTTGTAGCTGTAATGATAATTGGCACATGTAAAAGCTTTCTCAGATTTATTACACTGATGAATATTTTATCTTTATAAATTCATTTTACAATTTAGTCTAATTTTTAAGACAAAGAAGATCGTAAAGTTTACACTCATAGTGTTCCCCTTCATTTAGGGATGTTTTGTCCTTGAATGTATTTGTAATGGTAAGAGCCTTTCTTACAGGGTCCACATTTGTAACTTTTCTTTTCTATGAGATTCTTCACATATTTGAAGAGAACTGGAAGAATGCAGAGCTTTGATATAGTAATTACAATCACATATTTTCCAATTGTGTGAGTCATACTCTATTTGCAAAGTGAACTAGGACAACCATATTTATACATAACAATACTCATAGGGCTTTTCTGCAGCATGAAATTCCCAATGAAGATGAAAAACCAATTAATTTAAAACTTGTATCACATTAAAAAATTCTACTCAAATTGGGGAGTACTACATGTCTTCTAATTTTCCTATATGAGAGAGTTATGTTGTTTCTTTCCATATCTCTATGCTCACATGGTTTGTATCCAGAGTGACAGAAGATACACTGATAAAGGTAACTAACAAGAAAAATGTCTCCACTGCATTCGCACAGCTTGACTTTCTGTTCTTCATAGATATGTGGTATGGCGATTAAAGTTTTCTCCACAACTTTCTTGACTGTTATAGAGTGTCCCTCTCCCTAAACTTAGAAAAGTCACAATAAGTATAAGAGTAACACTAGCTCACTCTGAACTACGTGCTTATTAGGTTTTTGTTATATACTTACCACCTATTCATCATGTATACCTTTTTCAATATCTAAATGGCATGAAATTAAACAGACTGGCTGTTCTACAGCATAGCTATCATGGAGGTGTAATTCAAAGGGGAACATCAATTAAGGCATTGTTTCCCTGTGTTCTTTCAGGGAACATCAATTAAGGCATTCTTAGAGCAATGCCTTGCAAGCACATGTCAGCTACCTGACATTGAGGTATTTGGTTTTGTGAGAATTTTAGAAACATCAGTACACTTTAAAATGTGCTTATTTACACTCTTGCTTTCAGTTAAAACTTCTGGGACACATTAAAATTTCTCCATAGGTACATTCTTATCAGCTTACACATGAAAATTACCTTCCATGTCTTCCAGAACTTTGACAATATTCTTCAATATTATGGTCTTCCCAAGTGTAGCCTAAAATACAATACCAGTAAATGTATGATATATTATGGGAAATTGTGGAATATTTAGGTTACTATCTTCAGTGAAAGTTAGAACCATGCCAGATTTATTCACCTCACTCTTCTTCTTTCTCAATTGAAATTATGAAAGTATATCAATGACAAAGGAACCGTTCTCCCATTGTTTTAAAATGTGATTTTAAAAAAAATTCAGTCATACCTATAGCAGTGAGGTTCCTGTATGTCTCTTGCATCACATCTTTGTAGAGATTCTTCTGGGAGTGATCCAGCAAAGTCCACTCCTCCCAAGTGAAGTCGATATGCACATCATCATAGGTCACTGCAGTCTAAAATATCCCATACATGTGTACAACAGAGAGTGTGATACTGACAGCATGGTGATGTATACTTCTTTGGCAGTATATATATTCATATAATTTTGGGGATCCCCACAGTTATTCCATGACATGGAAGTTATAATCATCAACTCATTTTAGAAAACAAAAATTGAACAATGAGGTTCACCTCTGTCATTTCTGTACCCTTTGTCTAGGATATAGCCTTCCAAGACAAATGCCTATTAAAAGACATAAAGAGAGAGGCAAGCAAACAGATCAAAGTACACAGAGAAATTGAATGAACAATTATTAACTACAAAAAAGATGGGCAATCTGTGTGTATTGGTTTATGCCTTTAATCGCAGCACTCACGAGGCAAAGGCAGGTGAATTTAACTGAGTTGCATGACATCCTGGCCTATGCAGTGAGTTTCAGGATAGATAGAGTTAAATATTGGCAAGACCCTGTCTCATCTATAAAAATAAATTGATCAAAAAAGGTAGAAAGAACTCACAGGTGTTTATCAAAGTTCCTACAAAGAATTATGCATACATTCTAGTTCTGTTTTCATCTTCCAGAAACCAGTTTAAGGTTTAAAAAATAAGATTTTTCCAAAAGAGAATGCATGTTTAAAGTTACAAATGAGCAGATGAAAATGTTAGCAATGTAAATATTGATCAAAATACACAACATAGGACAGTAGAGATGGCTCAGCATTTAAGAGCCCTTGCTACTGTTGCAGACACTTGGGCTCTATTGCCAATACTTACATGAGGGCTTACAACTAGCCATTACAACTTCAGGGGTTGTAAAACTATTTTCTGATCAGTCTGAGGACCAGGCACACAGGCAAAAGATGTATATTCATTCAAAAGAATTTGAAAAAAAATACAATAGGTATTAAGAATGTCACACACCTTCAATAGAATGCCTCAGAAGGCTCGGGTAGTTTTAATGTCAGGATTACTGCCATCCTGGGGAAGAGAATAGTACACTCTGCCAGATTTCAAAATTGAAGATGTGGGTGAGGTTCAGCAAAACAGCACATGCTTGACTTGTACAAAAACATACATTACAGCCCCATCAGACAATAATATAAAGAAACCCAGGCATGATGGGCCACATTTAATCACAAGACATAGCAGCCAGAATAATTTGGATCTCTGAGTTTAGGCCAGCCTGGTCTACAGAGCTACTTTCAGGATAGCCAGAGCCACACAGATAAATCTTATCCTCAAAAACAAAAGTATAAACAACAAGATTAAAAAAAAAAAAAATCTCAGGTTACAAAATGGCTTAGCACTGAATAGCAATTGCTTCAACTGTATCATATGGGATTTAGTGATACTACCTATAATTGTGGTGAAGTCATGACAGGCAGACACAAAGAACATGAGCTTCGGATAAGGGCTGTGGAATGCTCAGGTGATTGGGCTGTACCAGTACCTATGCTTAAGCCCATCTGTGCTGGCTGGGAAGGTGTTTGTGTGATTATGTTGTGGTGTGTGTCTGGTGGCTTGATCATCATGGAGGTTGTTCGCTGGGGTTGAGGGTACAGCTGCATAGGAAATGGGCCAAAGACACTCGAATCCCTTCACCAATATTGAACTTCATCCAGAGACTCCTCCTACTAAACGTTCCACAAGCACCCAAAACAAAGCCACCAAGGAGAGACAAGTATTCAAATATATCATTCTATCTCAGAGGATTTTCATTCTGTCGACTGAAATATATTCTGACCTAAGTCACTATATGCTTATGGTCATGCCATGATCAAAACTTTAATGATTCTCATAGTCTTCAAAAGCATCTACCATTTCAAATGTTCAAGGTCTCTTTGGACACTCAAGGTGATTGCATGACTCTGACATCTTGTAAAATCAGAAAACAAGTTAAATCTGAGCACAAAACAGCTTGACCACACAGCTGTTAAGATAGGCCTAGAGGCCCCCACAGAGCTTTTGTAAGTGGCTTACTGGCAGGCAAGAATCAGATCCAGGAAAGCCGTGAGATGACACCACACAGATATCCACCCAGAGATAGGCCAGGGATGGGCAAGTACCTAACATCCCAAACATCTCAACCTTCAGATATGATAGCCAGAAGTCCTTGAGCCTAGCATACACTCATTTCCTCTTCTTAGCAAGATAGCCCTAGACAAATGTCAGCCCATCAGGATCCTGAAACCTGGAAATTCCCTCACTCCAACCTCAGTTATAATAAAAATTCTACCATGCCTGGGCTCAGGGACTCTCTGCTCTCACTGCTGCATCAGACAAACAGAAAAACCAAGCTTGTAACTTGAAAATAAAGTCTCTTTGCTTTTACATAAGGGATTTGGTCTCTGTGGTGGACTTTTGGGGGTCCCCATGAACTGGCCAGAACATTTGGGGGATCATCTGGGATCTCCCAAGCCCACAGGGAGCACTGCCCTTAGAGCCTGAAGCTGCCTGGTACGTTTTCTGTGTGCCTCTGGTATGTGTTTACTTTTGTGTTTTTTGTGTTTACTTGTGTTTACTTTCCTTTGGATATCCTTTTGTAAGTAAGCCCAAAATTTGTAAATGCCTGCAAATGGTGCCCTAGGTTGGGGAATTGACATCCTTGATTAATTTGGATTTGATTTGGAAGCTGGCAGCACCTCAGTTTTGTCTTCAGGAGCCAGGAGTTGTGGTTGTATTGTTTGCAGCCCTGTGTGTGCTGTAATTCTGTTTGTTCTCTTTCTGACTTATGAGACTGACATAATGGGACAGACTAAAGAGTACTCCTACTCCCCTAACCTTGATTCTGGACCATTTTCAGGACTTTAGAAATAGGGCAAAGAGAGAAGGAGTGGAAACTATTCAAAAAGGTAAACGTACCATCTTTTGTGAGACCAAATGGCCAACATTTGGAACGGGGTGGCCAATAGAGGGAACCTTTGACTCATACATCATTTGTAGGACAGAAGACTGGAGTTTTGGCAAACCCAAACACTTGGACCAAATTCCTAACACAGTCACCTGGGAGGAGGTTGTAGCACATCCTCGCCCTTGGTTAAAACCCGTTATCTCCACAGGACGGGTGAACAAGACTGACCTCGCCTTAAAGGAAGACAAAGGGTGAGAGGACCTTAAGCCATTTTTGGCCCTGTTTTGCAAGGGGGTACAGAGGATTAACTCTTTTTCCCCTCCCCCTTACCGGCCACCTCTCCCAACTGATCAGGTGGCCAGGGCAGCCCAGTGGGATGGAAGGAATGCTGGAAGCCCACCTTTCACCAGGGGGTGAGCCCAATGAGAATTGCTCCAGGTGCTTGACTCTGTCACTCTCCCCTTGAGAGTGGTAGGCCCATTGGATGATGAGGGCAATGAACAGATGCAGTAGTGGCCTTTCACTATGAGTGATGCTTATAACTGAAAAAAACAAAACTCCAGTTTTTCAGACAATCCATGGGCCCTTATTAACCTCCAAGATTCAGTTATAGTCACTCACCAGCCCACTTGGAATTACTGTCAACAGCTTTTACAGATTCTGTTTACCATATAAGAAAAAAAGAATTCTGACAGAAGCCCAGAAATTGGTTCTGGGACCTGATGGAAAACCGACTGTCAACCCTGCCTTAATAGACCCAAGGCTTCCCTCAGGTCCGTCCTAATTGGAATTTCAACTTGACACACGGTAAGGAGAGGCTCTGGGTCTACTGCCAGGTTCTAATGAGGGGGCTCTGTGTAGCTGAGCATTGGCCCACCAATTTGGGCAAAGTCAGTAGTGTACGATGGGAAAAGACAGAGTCTCTATCAGCCTTCTTAGATCGGATTA